GGGTCTGGGTGGCAAGGTCGGCCTGTGTGTCAGGCCCCGCCCCTGGCACCCGGCCAGCTGGAAGGCTGGGAGGCTGGAGGTTTGCAGGCTCATAAAAAGAAAACGTCTGCTCCTCCACCAGACAAGAATGCGCCGGGTTCAGCAGGGAAAGGAGGGCCCTGCTGGTGCCGCGACTTTCACGCCCAAGGCAGTGTCATCCTTCAGATCGGGAGGCTGGCGAAGATCTGCTGGCTCTTCAGGGCAGATGTCACAGCACAGACAGGGGAGGACTACGCCACTGGTCTCCTTGCAGGGATCCCAGTAGCAGGTGAGGAAACTGGGGCACCAGGATATGCAATGACTTAGCCTGAGACCACCACTAATAACTGCTCCCCCACCCCTGCTTCCCAATGTTAGCAAGACCTCTGGGAAACTCAGGGACATAGAGCAATGATGACCTTCACCTTCCAAGGTAGCCTGCCCCTGAGGCTTCAGCGCTCACAAGTTTTGCCCGGGCTGGGGCAAGCTTATGATGGTTTTTCTCTTTTTCAGAATCTCTCCCTCTGACTTGAAATGGCATTGCATCAAGCAGGGTGTCTCAAAACTATCTATAAATGTAGGACCCGTCTTGTTTGCTTGTTAATTAATTTCAATCCGTCACGGATGGATACTTTTGTAAAGTACAATAAAAATGATTTGCTGGGGAAAATGAAATGAAAAAAGAAATACAAGCCCCAGCTTTTATCATTAGATTCAACAGACATCAACACACTCTGTCAAGCTGCTAGCAAAGTTTTGAAACTCTCGCCCCCAATTTCTGCACTGAGCTCACAGTGGACAGGTGCCAGTTTGTGGACTGGCACCAGCCCATGGAGTGCACTTTGAGTGTCGGCGGTGAAGAGTCAAGGTCAAAGCGTGTGGGTTCTAAAGTCACCTCTGTCGTTAACTGGCTGCATGGCTTCCCCTTCTGAGCCACCACCTTCACTCGCACACAGACAGACCCACAAATCAACTCACATTACGTACAGTCAGAGGAGCGAAGAAAGATGCTGGTTCTTCTCTTTGTCCACAGCCGAACCATTCCTTCTCAGCATCACCAGATGGAGTGCAGTAACGAGATTTCGGCTGTATCCAGGAGAAAGAGTGCAATGCGTCCTCTTAGGCAAATTCCCGGGCTCTTTCAGATTTCCACCTCACTGCCCCTCTCTTCTGCGGGATGGCGTTTGGGTACATGGGGGTGGAGAATGAAACTCATGCCTGTGCTTCTCATGCAAATACCCCTGGGAGATTGTTAAAATGCAGGTGCTGGGTCAGCAGGTCTGGGGTGGGGCCAGAGGCTCTGTGTTCCTACCAAGCTCTCAGATGGCCTGAGGCTGCTGCTCCTGAGACCACACTGAATAGCTTGTGAAGGGCTTAGAGCTCTCATGAGGGAGAGGCATCAGGTCCTAGGAGACTCCCTCCCACTGAAGTCTGAACCTGGAGAACCCCAGGTCCAACTCTCTGGGTGAAGTCCCAGCCCCATTGCCCCCGCCAGCTCTGCCTCCCCTCAGCTCTCATTGGTGCCATGGAACCTTGAAGATTCTGTGATGACCCCCATCTGGACGCTGGTCTAGGCCCACTGGCCCTCCACACAGCTACCTGCCACTGGGGGATCCGCCGACTACCATTGCCGGCCCCCAGGAACCAAGGGCAGCTCCGCCCACTGCTCCATGCCACTCTCTGAGTTCTCATCCGGAGTCCACCAGATGAGTGTGGGGTGCAGCCTCCAAACTCTCTCCTCCCAGAGCCCCCAATCCAGCCAGGGGCAAACATGCCCCTTCACTTCTCAAATGTACCTCTCTCCGGGCAGATCCCAGAGTGGGTGACCAGAGCTCCCCTGGATTGCTACCGCCACCTCCAGCCCCCATCTTGCCACCATCCTCCCAAAGTAGAGGGAATAGCCTCTGTCCATTCCTCTTGCTGTCTGGTTGACGCTTCCCTTTCAACACAAAGTCGAAACTAAAGGAACGTTCTCTCGGACAATGCCTGACTTCCACCTCATTTCTTCCCTGTGGATTCAGACATAGTCTAATTTGACCAAAGCCGAACAATAGCTTCCTGGGTGAGCTGTTGTTACCATCCGCTGATGCTCTGGAAACCGGAGACCCACTGAAAATCCACATGAAGATACTGCCCCCAAATGATCCCAGCTTCATAGGAAATAGCGGCGTCCCTCTCGCGAGACCCAAGACTACAAAAGGGCCATTCTCTTGGCAACTTGGAACCGGAGCACACTTCCTAGGGAGGCCTGCAGCTGGGGCGTCAGATGCCCCCACCATCCCACAGGGAATGAGTGAGCACCTCCTGGGAGCCAGGCATCTGCGGGGGACTGGGCTGTCAAGGTCGTGCTTTCACAGCACTCACAAGCTTAGGATGATGACAGACAGTATCACCTCATGTGGTGGGCGCTTTGACACTCCTCCCTGGTCCCCCTTTGAGGGTCTGCTCCGACCCCTTCTAGGCAGGGTCTGGCTCAGGGGCTGAGAGTCTCTGGGCCGAGGCAACACCATCCCCAGGCAGCCCACACCCACTGACTGATGGCTGCAGGGTATCATCCCCTGGGGACCACCCTGACAGGCCCTAGAGCTCCAGAGCGCCCTCTGGGCTTGGCCAAGGCTGTGCTTGGTCCAGACCGCAGCTCAGCTCCTCCATCTGGCCACGCCCACTCCCGCTTCCTTCCTCTCCCTTCCTTGGGAGTGGATCCCAAGGGCCTTCTTTAATAAACACCCTGCATGCTAAACTCCATCTCAGAGTCAGTTTCTCAGAGAACCGCACCCTCATTGCCCTCAACGCCTAGGAGATGAGGAGACAGGGAGATAGCAAAGCAGCCCGTAGCTCTCCCTAGGCCTGTGCTGAGAGAGTAGGGCCACAAGGCTGGGCCTGGGGAGGACCCTGCCCCTTCCACCACAGCTGCCAGTGTAAATGGAAGCCGCCCGTCAGGAAGGCAGGCCTCTGCTCCCCTGCTTCTCCTTGGAGACAAGCAGCGGGAATAGCACCTGCTGGGTGGGAGCCTGGGGGAGCCTGACTGAGGAAACTGCAGGAGAGGCAGGGATCAGGGTGGAACCAAGACCCACAGGGCAGAGCAGGGAGAGGTGGCACAGTGCAGGGAGGGGACACCAGCCTGGCCATCAGGAGACACGAGTCTCCTCCCATCCATGCTAGGCTGGGTGACACCGAACAGATCTCTCCTCTCTCCAGGCCTGACCCCTCACCTGTCAGATAAAGGAGTGTACACCTGTGATTCGGGTGGCCTTTGAGGGCTTCTGGCTCTGCAATTCCAGCCTCATGCGAGGCTACGTTTATGACCCCGGGCCTCATGCATGCAGCCCAGAGAACTGAGAAAACAGAGCAGAATTTACCATGGCAGGTGGCCCCTCTCCTTTGCACACAGATCAGAGGAAGTCTGGTTGTTAACAGTGGAATTATCCCTCTGTAAAAAAAAAAAAAATACATTGAAGTCCTGCCGCCTCCCAAGGACTTCAGAATGTGACTGCATTTGAGATAGGGCCCTTACTGAGGTGATTCAGGTAAAATGAGGTCACATGGGTGGGCCCCAGTCCAATCTGACTGGAGTCCTTATTGGATGAGGAGATTAGGACACAGATACACACAGAGGGAAAACCATGTGAAGACACAGGGGGGAGACGGCTGTCTGCAAGCCACGGACAGAGGACTCGGAAGAAACCAACCCTGCTGGGACTTTGATCTCAGACTTCCAGCCTCCAGAACCAGGAGGCAGCACATTTCTGTGGTCTAAGCCACCCAGTCTGTGGCCCTTGTTACGCCAGCCTGAGCAAACTCATAACACTGGTCGATTAAATGTATAGGAAGTTCCAAACCTAGCCCTGGAAGGCTTTGCTCCACATGGGGAGGCCCAGGCGCTGTTGAGGGGTTCCTGGCTGATCATCTGTGGCTGGTGCGCTTGGGCTCCGGGCCGGGCAAGCCTCCTGCTCACCACTCAGCCGGCTCTGGGAGGGCTGCACGCGAAAGGAAGCCACGTGCTGGCTGCAAAGCCAAGAGCTGTTGGCTGGGGCCTTGACAGTGTGGCTGGCAACCCCGCCCCGTGTATAGTCAAGGCCTAGGTGTTCCACACCAGGAAGGGGAGGAGAGAGGATGTTCTGACCAGCTGCCAGCCCCCGCCACTCTCTGCATCTGTTTCCTTACCTCTGAGGAAAGGTTTCCCTGTTCCCATGTGCGTGTGGCTCGTCACTCACTGTGGAATAGAATCAGAGATAGAAAAAGGCCGCCTCACAGCCTGCAAGCTCAGGAGAGCCCACAACCCTACCATGGCCTGCTTTACCCACTCCAGGCACCTCAGGGTGTCTCAGGGCAGAGGCCCAGGCCTGCTCCCAGTGACCCAAGAGCCAACTCTGCTTCGGAAAGGCCCTCCTCTAAACATTTTCTCTCCAGGTTTGACTGGAGACGGGCACAGCCGTGCAGGGGGCTTGGAGAGTGGACCAGGTCGGCCAAGACCTGCCTGACGACTGTCTTTGTGAGGAAAACCCAGGCAGCAAGGGGACAGGCCCACCCTCCCCTTCCTGGGTTCGAGCCAGGGCACCCACTGTGGCTGGGGAGTTCTGGACCCAGGCAGACCCCAGAAAACAGCCCGCAGCTCCAATCAGCCGCCGTGTGTTTATTTTCACAGCTGCTCCTCCCGCTCGGCTGTTCCAGTGAGCAAAGGAATCTGTTTGTCTGCGAAAAAGAATGTGGCAGAGAGACGGGAGGCGGCCCCGGGCAGCCCAGGCAGCCTGAGCAGCGACAGAGCTCGCCAAAACCAGCCAGACACCCAGGAGAGTCACCCAAAGGCCTAGAGGCCAAGGTCACAGACTCGGAGACACCCTCCACCTCCGGGGCCCAGGGCTTTGCCCAGAATCCTCAGGGCAGGTGCCAGGCTGGCGGCCTCCGTGCACGGAACAGGGACCCACCCTCCTGCGGTATTTTATTTGCTTCTTTCTCATTTACAGACAAAGCCCCACCCCTACCACACACACACACACCCCACTCTGACAAGGTCAGTCAGCTGTGTGTACGAGGGACAAACACGTAGGACTGAAAGCGAACACGTTAACAGCCAGGCCTGCAGTGGGCCTGGAGATGAAGAAAGAGAGGGGGTGAGGGGCACCCCAGCCCCAAAGCCAGCTTAGTCTCAGCCCAGCCAAGGGAGGCCACCTGCCACACTGGAGGTCCAGCTGCAGCCTCCAGACCTGTCAGCCTTGCTCTGGAGCATTCTGGGCAGGCCAGGGGGAGTCCAAGAAAGGCCAGCCCAATGTCACTCTTGTTTGGGTAGTTTTGGCCACAGGGACACCTGGGACCCCAAAACAGGGGCTCTGTCCCTCCAGGCACTCTTCATACCCATTCCCACTCGTACCCTTCACCAGCCCCTCAGGCTGACCAAGAAGTCCTGAGGGTGGAAGGGAGACACAGCTTTCAGCTAAATTTTCTGGATTACAGCCCCTAAGTGGTCAGATTTAGGTTGGAAAATTCCCCACTGTCGTGATCTGGCTTAAGTTGAACCTCTCAGAGGCATGGGAGTAGAATATATAATAATTAATCCTCCCTCTAAATCTTCCCTGGTCAGGTAAATTGTCCAGATGCAGCTGATCTCCTCCCCAGGTCAGCCTCCTCACCCTTGAAAGGCTCTGGGAGATTGAGGGACTTGCCCAAGGACACAGAGCAAGAGCGACCAAGGGGAGGTGTCTTAGGCTGGGCTCTTCCAGAAGCAATGCCTGAGACAAGGATTTGGAGCCAAGTGGTTGATTAGGGAGTGAGGAAGTGAGGCGGAGAAGGGAAGCAGGCAGTAAGGGAGGTGCTGTCAAGCCAGTCCCCAGAGTGAGACACTGGGGGTCAGTCCGCTGGGCTTCTCTGAGCCACCCTGTATAAGACGCCCCCACGTTACTCCACCTGGGGAGTGGAAAGCTGGAGCATCCTCTAGTTCCGATGCTTCACTGCCTCATTGACTAAGAGATGCTCCCAGAGGCATTGCCTTCAGGTGGGGGTCTCGTGCCCTTAGGGAATGTTCCAGACTGGTGAATGCCAACGAAATTTGGGCCAGGCACCAGGAGCATCTGCTACAGAAGTTGACCACAGTTCTGTGTGAATCCAGGGTCTTAATGGGTTCCCTGCACCGGCTGCCCCTCCTGGCACCTAAAGACTAGAATTTTCAAGGTCCTCCAGCTGGTTTGTGATGAAGCCAGCCTACCGGGAATTGAGGTGGTGGGGATGGGGGCAGGACGGGGTAGAAACAGCCACCCCATGCACACGTGTACACACACACGCACACACAAACTCACGTGCACACATACGTACCAGGGTGTACCACTAGAATGGTGTTGGTCTTCTGTGCTAGCTTCAGAACGGGGGCACCCTTGAGAATCTCTGATGCCACACAGAGTAGATAAGTGGGGACCCTCTCAGAAGGGTCCCACACTTTGGGAGTGGAATTCCCAAAGTGGATCCAATTCCCAAATTATCACTGAGTGACCTTGGGCCCGAGACTGGTTGCTGGATGCTTCAGTGGCTGTAAAATAAGGATGCTAATGCCTGCCTCGATCCCCAAAGGCTTGATCTAAGAGTTAGGAGTAACATGGTGGTCTTCCTCCCACAGTGCCTGCTCCACGGAAGGGGTAGTTGGTCATATTTTTTCCTCATTGAGGAAAAATTCACATAACATAAAAATTCACCATTGCAAAGTGTGCAATTCAGTGGCATTAAGTATATTTACAATGATGTGCAACCATCACCACGATCTAATTCTAGAATATTTTATTACCCCAAAAGAAATTCTGTACCCATTCAGCAGCCCCCCTACCCCGTTCTCCACCCTGGCAACCACTGATCTACTTTCTGTCTCTGTAGACTTGCCCATTCTAGATATTTCGTAGAAATGAAATCGTATAGTATGTGGCCTTTGGTGTCTGTTTTTTTTTTTTTTCACTCAGCACAGTGTCTTCGAGGTTCATCCTTTTTATGGTGGAAAGCGATCTTACCACGGGGGCAGAGCACATTTTGTTTATCCATTCACCAGCTGATGGACGTTTTGGTTGCTTCCGCTTTTTGACTATTACACATAGTGCTGCTGTGAACATTTGTGTACACTTTTTTGTGTGGATGTACAGTTTCAACCCCTTACGTGTACGCCTAAGAGTGAAATTGCTAGTCACCTGGTAAGTCTGTGTTATCTTTTTAAGGAACTGCCAAACTCTCTTCCACGTTGGCTGCACCATTTACATTCCCATCAGCAGTACCGGAGCGTTCCAGCTCCCCCGCATCCTCGCCACCGCTTGCTACTTTTCTTTTTAAAAAAAAAACAAAAAACCTGTAGCCATCCAATGGATGTGAAGTGGTATCTCACTGTGGTTTCTCTTGTGTTTATTGGCCCCTATATTTTTTTTTGAGATTCCCAGCAGTAATTACCTTGGGATTAAACCAATATACAAGAGTGGGCTGAGGCCATTAGGACTGGTGACTCCAGAATGCCCTGGGCCTCTGTCCCTTGGTCCAGACATCAGAGCCACGAGATGATTTCCAGGGCCTGGAATATGGGGACAGTGTGGTGACAGGAGCAGCGGCCTCCACCGGTGGCCCAGAGACAGAAGAGGAGGGACCTATATCAGCTAATGTATCTACTTTTTTCCTTCTTTTGAATAAATGTGCAGGATCAAGATGGCCTGTACAAAAGGGACAGAAGTTATTGTCACCACCCCTCTTTAAACCACCCCAAGCTACACATAGTGGTTTTCCCACTCTGACCTCTTAAGCATTGGTTATCATTACAGCATTTTAAATACTTTTGGTAACTGGACATAAAATTGTTTTATCTTGTCAGATTACATTCACATAATATATTGATTAAACGTATATATTATATTTTCCCTTTTTTAGTATTCTTTGCTCATTTATTAATATTTTCTCATCACTTCAGATGAGCTGTTTCATAAAAAATAATCATACCAACCATAGTATTTGTCCTCAGTCTGCTTTCTCTTCATAATCTGATTGGAATGTGGTTTGAGTTTTTTATCTTTGTGTGAAGCATCTTTGATTATCTGTGCAGTTAACTTTTACTTTCTTTTTTCTGATTCCTTCCATCACATCCAAACTTAAAAAGTCCTTCCCCGGGGGCAGAACATGGTTTCAAGATGAGATTCTTCAGAGGAAAATGTTCCAGCACCTAAGAAATTGCAAAATCCCTCTGCCAGGTTAGATGACATTGGTTTCTTTCTGTCCCCAAGGTCCTTCCAAGGGAGGGGGGATTGTTTAGCTTCACAGTGAAGAGCTTGGGGTCTGGAGCCAGACTGCTGGGTTTGAATCCCACCTCTGTCAAGTAGGCAGGGTACTTAATCCTCTGTGCCTCAACTTCCTCATCTCTAAAATGGGGATCATAATGGTACCCCATTCACAGGGTTGTTGAGAGAATTACACGGTACCCTTAGTATATCTGAGTTTATCTAAGTAAAGCTTTTGGATCTGGCCAGGGCTTCAGATCTCCCGTGGCAACTACAGTGAAAGGATGAGACGGGTCTTCCTTCTGGTCCTGCCCAAAGAGATGGTCACCGACAGGTCCCAGCCTGGTTCTG